CCTCCTGTTCACTTTGCTCACATGTGACTGTGCATCCAGGCTGTCATATTGTAAAGTTTGCAGATGATACAGGAGTGGCTGGATGCATCACAAACAATGATGAGTCCAGCTACAAGAAGGAGATAGAACACATGGAGAGCTGGTGCAGGAAGAACAACCTCCAGATCAATGTGAAGAAGACAAAGGATGTGGTCGTGGATTTCAGATGAAACAAACACAACTACACCCCCCCCCCACCCACCCAAAAAATAGGAGGATTTGTGATGGAAGTGGTCTGCAGCTACAAGTACTTGGGTGTGCACCTGGAAGCTCAGTCCTCACCTCCTTCTACAGGTGTGCAGTGGAGAGCATCCTGTACTCAAGCATCATTGTGTGGCAAGGAGGCTGCACAGCTGCAGAAAGAAAAGCTTTGCAGAGAGTGGTGAAGGCTGCACAGAAGACCGCTGGAGTAAGTCTTTCCACCATCACAGACATCTACACCTCCAGATGCAGGAAGAGGGCCACCTGCATCATGAAGGACCCCACTCACTCAGCACACACACGTTCTTTTTGCCTCACTCCCCTCAGGCAGAAGCTTGCAGAGCATTAAGTGCAGAACCACTAGACTGAGGAACAGGTTCTACCCTGAATCTGTTAGATTCATACATTAAGCAGAATGGGAGGAAGATCTTTCAGTTATCAGGCTCCTCTCCTATCGAACCAACTTCCAGTTTCTGTCCGTAAGGCTAACTCATTGTCCAGTTTTAAGACTGGGCTTAAGACTTTCCTTTTTGATAAATCCTATAATCAGGGTTGGCTTGTCATGCTGTTTTAAGCTTAGACTACTAGAGGACAAATTGACAACATTTCCTTAAATGATTTGCTAAAATTTAATAGTTTTCATTTGATACTACTATATTAACATGTGATTCTTGACCTGCCATTGTGTATTTGTTCCTACCAAACCCAGCCGGTCGAAGCAGATGACCGCTTGTCCTGGTTCTGCTAAAGGTTTCTTCCTCGTGAGGCAGTTTTTCCTTTCCACTGTCGCCTTCATGCTTTCTCAAGATGAAAGTTCTGCGATGGAGTTAAACTCAAAGCAGTCTGCTCCTCAGATAAACAGTGTTAAATTATTTTTTTTTATAAATTAATGTTTCTGTTCAGTGCCATGAGATGACTTCTGTTGTGACTTGATGCTATATAAATAAAGTGAATTGAAAATAAATCCCTAATCAGGATTATTACTGTGAAAAAAAATCACTGTAATACCACTTTGATTGTTGATATGTGCTGCTGATTATCCATGCTGCTGATCTCATGCTTCTGATTTATTTCATACTGCTGTGTTCATTTGTACTCATCTGCTCACAGAGACTCATGTTCATGTTGCTGCTGTTCGGCGCATTGTTTTACACTTTTAAGTGTTTAGCATATTTCTTAGCTTAGTGTATTTCTTAGTTTATAGCCTTGACCGTTTATTTTACAATTTCTATTTTTGCTATTGTTCGATGTAACTGAGACCCCGTGTACACAATTTCCTTCCACCTCATGTACTTTGTACCACATGTGATGTGAATGATAATAAAGAACCTTGAACTTGTAGATCCAATCTTTTCTTTCTGTGGATAATGAGAAATAAATTTTCCTTTGGTGTTGTCAGGTCCTCCAACTTGACCTCCGGGAAGAACTTCTTTAAATTCTCTGGTTTAACAACATTGTGCACCCTGGCAATCTTGTTCAATCCATTGCAAACCATTTTTGTGTGCGTTTGTTTTATGTTATGTTGTTTATTTGTCCTATGCAGGCTAACACAAGATCAGCAGTGCAACAAAAATGTTCAGGATGAAAAGAACTGATTTGAATTGCTAAAAACAAACAAACCAACAAATAGTAAAGCATGCAATAAGGGTACAAAACAAAGTACCAAAAAGTGAAAAAGAAATATAATACAGTACTTACAAGATCAAAAAGACATATAGTAAACAACAACATGGTAGAATATTACGGTTCAATAGGATGAATTCGTATGAAGAAATATTTCACAGGTAGTAATATAAGTTTAAATGCACGTGATATATATTACACATAACATATACTAGTAAACAGGTTGTGTGACAGGTTATTGTAGAGGTAGTGCAGTAACATTGAAATTATATTAATTATGATGGTAAGGTAGTGACATACATGATATGTGGCATGAGATATGACATAGATGACATACATGCATGATACAGCCGCATAGTGCAGCAGCAATAAACATATTAGGTGTCACAGATGTGGCTTAGTGCAATGTTATTGTCAATAGTTCAGTATTATTATCAAGAATTCAGAAATCTGACAGCTTGTGGGTAATAACTGCCTTTCTTTTTGTACGCAATGGCAAACTCTTGTATCATCTGCCTGAGGGTAGACGGAAGAGTCCTTGTGCTGGGTGGGTGTGATCCTTAATGATGTTGTGTGCTTTACGCAGACATCGGCTGTGTTGGATGTCCTGGATGGTGTGGAGACTGCTACCAGTGATGTCCTCTGCTGTTTGCACCACCCTCTGTAGTGCTTTCTAACTGGTGCAGTTCCAGTACCACCCTGTAATGCAGCTTGTCAGCAGGCTATAAATGGTGCACCTATAAAAGTTAATGAGGATGTTGGTGTTCGTACCAAACTTCTTTAGTCTTCTTAGGAAGTAGAGTCTCCATAGGGCTTTCTTGACCACAGTGTCTGTATGTAAAGTCCAGGACAAATCCTCATGTGAACATCAAGGAACTTGAAGCTGCTGACCTGCTCCCCTCAGCGTTATTTATGTAGATGGTGCAGTGCTGGCCTCCACACTGTTTCCTGAAGTCCACTATCATCTCATTCGTTTTGCTGACATTTAGAGAGAGGTTATTTTACTCACCTTCACCATTCACCCTACATCATGTAGCCTACAACTAAGATCACTCTCTTATTGTATGACCTCTAATTGATGTTTTTACAATTATTAATGCACATGCATAATCCTCAAAGTCAGTATTTTGCAAAATTTTGTTGCCTAGAAAGTTTTGTACCTACATCCGGTAAGTTGAAATGCACTTAGTTTAAACAATGTTTGTATCTAATTCGGTTTCAGCCAAGCTCTGCAGTCATTCAGACACCCGGCAACATTGCACGTCACGTTCACATCGTAAAATATAAATAAAACCAATTTACAAATAGGTTTGTGTATAACATAAAAGCAAGTGTAAAAAACATACAAAACCATCTGGGGGTATGGTGACTGATGTTACGCATGTGCATTAGTAACTGTAAAAAGGTCAAAGGCAAATCACAGAGACTTGAAAGAGAATCGAAATAGGGCGAGGCTTGTCGAGTTACACTAGACATTACAAAAAAAAAAAATCTTATACTTAATCCTGTTTCAAAATCCTCTGGACGGATTAAAAAGTAATAAGTAAAAATTAAATAAAAAATTTCAAACTTGCTGAAACGTTTTGTCTTTAATCCAAAATACTTGTCAGTGAGGAGACCCAGACCCAGACCTAGACCAGTGGTCATTCCGTATGTGGCAGGACTTTCAGAGAAACTTAGATGTTTATTTTCTAAACATAACATCCCAGTGGCTTTCAAACCACAAAATACATTACGGTAAAGACTGGTCCATCCTAAAGATCCAGTCCCCCAGCACCCAGGATATTATTACCTGCAGTGTTCCCTCAGTCAGGACTGAACTAGGCAAAAGGGCCTTCTCCTACTCCGCTCCTGTTTCCGGGAATATCTTGCAAAAAAATCTGAAGCTGTCCACCTTGACCTCTCTAAGTGGCTTTAAACATCTGTTAAGTTGGAGAGTGGTGGCACAGAGGCTAGAGAAGATGGGCCTGTGATCGTAAAGTTGCAGGTTCAACTCCTGGTACCACCAACATCAAAATGTGGGTGGAAAAGGTAAAACACCCACACCTGCCTCCACCCTCATTTGACCCACTCTGGGCCCCTGAGCAAGGCTGTTAACCCCCACCATCCGCTCCCAAAAACAGGTCTCTCTTGAAAATGAGTTCTCATGACTCAGTGAGACTACCTGTAATAATAAAGGGTAAATGAAAAAAAAAAAAGTTCCTGGTAAGAACCAATGCAGACATGTTCTTGTTGTTAGTATTCTTATCCTTTTAATTATCATTTTGTTTTCAACTGTTAAAAAAATGCATGCATCATTTGTGAATGTCTATTGTTGTCATTATTGTCCACTGTTGTCATCGCCCTTTGTTAAAATTCAGGTCTCTCTTGTAAATGAGTCCTTGTGACTCAATGGGACTAACCTGTTTAAATAAAGGTTGAATGAATGAGTGAATCATTAAACAGGAGTGGAGGCCTCCATGTTCAACTGTCCCCCTCTCACAATGATGTGCTAGTATCACTCAGTCCCCTGTGAATAACAAGCGGCCATCAGGGCACTAAAGACCAATCAATAGTCCTTCTTCATGTGAACAGTTCCTTTTGGATGTTACAACAAATTGGTTGATCTGAGAATGTGCTATTTATAAGACTGAATTTATTGCAGCTACTCAGACTGATAGTCCTTTGGATTAAAGACTTAACGTTTCAATGTGTTTAATTTTGTTAGTTAATTTTTACTTCTTGTTTTTTAATCCGTCCAGAGGACCTGACTCAATTTTGTTAGATTGTTCTACTTCAAAATGGTCGAAATGGCCCTTTAAATCGTGACGTCAGAGTAATGCTCCGCCCCACGGGGGGAACGGAAGTAGATGGAAACAGAAAGGCCAGAGTGGTTCCTGACAGCAACAGAACATCTGTTGTCGAACAAGCAGCACTTAAAAAAAAAACGTTAGAGTAGATTTTTTAAAAATTTATTATTTTTTTTAAAGTCTTGAAGGTGCAGATACAGACGTTAAATCAACATGGCTCACATTCAGAAACGTCTTTTAACGACACGGAAACCGCTGGTGTTACTTTTCTCCTTTCTTCTTCTTCTTCCTCCGGTTGTCGCCGAACACGAACGGCCGGCGCGGAGCTCAGACGCCTCGGAGGAGGACATGGGTGAAACTTACGATAAATACTACAATTACGTAGACCTAACCGAGCGGTTCCGGTCTCTGGCGCAGAGACACCCGCACATAGCGAACCTGTCGAGCGTAGGTCGGTCTGTGGAGGGCAGGGAGCTGTGGGTGATGCGGATCACTCTGGACCCGGAAAAGGACTCGCCGGGGAGACCCAGGTTCAAATACGTCGGGAACATGCACGGAGACGAAACCGTGTCCAGACAGGTGCTGGTTTACCTGGTGGAGTATTTGCTGAGCAGATATGGAGAGGAGCCCCGCGTTACGGAGCTGGTGAACAGCACGGACATTTACATCATGCCCAGCATGAACCCGGACGGGTTTGAAAGGTCCAAGGAGGGGGACTGTACCGGGGTGACCGGGGGTCGAGATAATTCTAAATTCAGCGACCTGAACAGGAGTTTTCCTGACCAGTTCGACGGGACGACTGTGGATCCAGGTCACATACCTGAGGTCATGGCTGTGATCAGGTGGATTCAGGAGAAAAAGTGAGTATTAATCATCTGTGAACCTCAAAATCACACACACAGTCTTGACAACGAACCTGTGTTTACAGAAACAACACAGGCAGGAGTGTTTGCAGCTAATCTATTTCACCTTAAGCCATTTCTGGTCTTTAGCTCAAATTTGGGAGTGGGGTGTCTGAAGAGTCCTGGTTAATGAGCAACCAGATTATCTGTGCATTCGGTTATATTTCAAGAAAACAGTGACGACAGATCTTGAAATTTTAAACATGAAAAACTGCTACTTTCATTTTTTTTTTTAGGTAAGGACTGTCTTTAGGCTGTGTGCTGACAGTGGGGACAAAATAAGTTGTTTCAGAAGCTTCAAGGAAAACAAATTTTTGCTGAAATATTGACCTTTTTTATGTTATTTTAAGGGCCTCAGGGGCCTACAAACGAAAGTACTCTACAAGTACACCTGACCGGGTGTAGAAGTATTTGTCTTGGTGTGTCAGATCAAGCTGCACTTGAAATCATAGTCTCCTTTTGTACAATTTACAACCCCAGTGAGTGCTTGCACAGGCAACTTATACCTCTGGGAAGGCACAATCAATGCAAAAATGTATATACTGTACAGGTTTTTGGAACAACACTACCAGCCTGATCAAGAAGGCACATCAGAAACTCTTCTTCCTCAGGCGGCTGAGGCGAGCTGGTCTGGGAAGCTCAGTCCTCGCCTCCTTCGACAGGTGTGCAGTGGAGAGCATCCTGTGCTCCAGCATCGTGTGGCATGGAGGCTGCACAGATGTCTGTTTGAGTCAGCCTTCCCACCATCACAGACATCTACACCTCCAGATGCAGGAAGAGGGCCACCTGCATCATGAAGGATCCCACTCACCCAGCACACACACTTTTTGCCCCGCTCCCCTCAGGCAGGAGGTTGAGGAGCATTAAGTGTAGAACCACTAGACTGAGGAACAGCTTCTATTATGAGGCTGTTAGACTCGAATCCCTAATCAGGGTAATCACTGTGAAAAAAATCATTATAATGCCACTTGATTGTTGATATGTGCTGCTGACTATCCATGCTGCTGATTTATTTCATGCTGCTGTATTCATTTGTACTCACCTGTTCACACAGACTCATGTTCGTGCTGCTGTTGTTCGGCATATTGTTTTTGTACTACTAGTGCTTAGTGTATGTGGTGGATGGGTTAAATGCAGAGAGCCAATTTTGCCATTGTATGGGATGCATGGGAATGACAATAAAGAACTTGACTTGACTTGAACATCTGCTCCTGTTCAGATTATGCCTTTTTTTTGGGCGGCTGTGGCTGAGTGGTTAGAGCAGTCGTCCTCCATTGCAAGAGTTGGGGTTCGAATCACATGCCGAAGTGTCCCTAGGCAAGACACTGAACCTGTTGCCTCTGATGTGTGTCCCATCAGTGTATGAATGTGATAAAGCTCTGATTGGTCTCTTTAGAATGATTTGTTCAATTAGCTTTGTACAGATCTAGTAGAGTGTTGTTTGCATGGGTAAATGAGGCACAGATTGTGTTATAAAGAGCTTTGAGTGTCTTGATGAGATGTAAAGGTGCTATATAAATACAGTCCATTTACCATTTTTCGGGGAAGGTCTTGCATATTTCAGCACGAAGACAATGCTGAACCACATACTGCATCCATTACAACAGCGTTGCTTTGTATCACAAGAGTCCTGGCGCTGAACTGGCCTGCCTGCAGTCCAGACATTTCAACAAATGAAAATATTTGACACGTCCTGAAACCAAAAGTCATCAAAGATGACCCTGGATTCTTGTTTTAGTTTTTGGATGTGTTGCAACCATAACATAAAAAAAATCTTCTTTTTTTTTTTTCATACAGCTTCTTAGTTCAAATATTTCAATTGTTTACTATATTCCTTTGTTAAAAATATATGGTTTATTGATTTATTTTATTATTTTTTTTCAAATCATTAAATTTTTATTTACCATTTTATTAACATTTTCTTGATTGGAGTGGTAATAAAGTGGTTTGGTTGTTCTTTTACGTTTGGGAGTAAAGGGAATCCTAATCCCTGATAACTATGCTGTAGATTTTATTTATTTATTTTTGTACTTCTTAGTTTTTAAATGCTACATTTTCAGTACAGTCAACTACATGTGTGCAGTCTCAATATTTAAGCAGACAAGGGTCAGAATCTATTTAATTGAAAGGTTTGTTCTTGATGTTTATCCATCTTTGTATAGTCTTCATCTGCCCAAAGGTATATAAAGCCTACATAAGCTCATAATGTATGGGTTATAACTCAAAATGTTACCAGCTCATCCTGAAGAATTCCCAGATTTACAGCCCCGCCAAAATCTGTTGTGTGCATCGTCATTATGTATAATTTAGTGATGAACAATTAGAGTTTTGAAAAGGCGAAGCAGTAATTTAGAGTGGAGTTGACCTGGTTACCGGTAATAGATCTGAGAATAATAAGACTGTGGAGAACCAGCGTAAAGATGCCCCGAATGTTGATTGACACTTTCCATTGCTGTTATATCTGTGTTTTTGATACCTAATCAAACTTTGGACCAAATAGAATCACATCTGTGAGATCCTCGGTTTTTGTAACGGTTCCGTGTGAACCCTGAAGTTGTTTATTACTCATCGTTTTGCCGACCTGGTTTTAATTTCTCTAATTGTATTTCCTTTTGAAGTTTTCTTCTATTCCTAAGGATGAAACCCTGTTGCATTATTTGTTGACACATCCATCCAATTATAACATCAAATGTTGAATGTTTATAGAAAAAAAAAAGTTTTTTTTAAGGGATGCACGATATTATCGGCATGGTATCGGTATTGGCAATAAATTTAAATATCGGACATTGGCCATTCCATCAAAATAACTCACCAATATAAAAGGCTTCTGTTTTAAGTCATTTTTTAATTTAAGAAACTGTCAAGTATATCTATTAATGCACTACTACTTATGCGCTTTTTACTTGTCGTTTGTGAACAGGTTAGATTTGTAAAAATTTACAAATGTGCACTGCTCCAGTGTTGTCATTGTGTTAGAGAGTAAATGTCATGAATAAATTTGACATTAAACATAATCCAAGTTGAAGTGTTACATCATTTTCAGTTCCCTTTTTGGCATCTACATTTGGTCGCAGGCCAAACTGACAAAGACCATGCAGAGTAATGTAGTATTTTAATGCCACAGCAGAGAAAGCTATGCAGTCTCTGGAAGTAGGTCTAGGGAAAAAAAAAAAAAGGTATTATTATCAGTTATCGGCCAAATAAGTTTTAACATATCGGCATATCAGACATCGGCCAAAAATCCAATATCGTGCATCCCTAGATTTTTTATTTATTTAAGTATACTTTCACTTTTTATTTGTTTCTTGAATCATAATCAGCAGCTAATGTCATAAAATAACTAGCTAATGTTGGTACTCTGACTGCGGCCTCAATAATCTTCTCCGATTTATGGTCGTGAGTTGAATTTATCTGTAAAGGCCCATGATTAAAATCTGCCACCTTCTCTCTAGTTTTGTTCTGTCAGGGAACCTGCACGGGGGCACAGTGGTTGCCAGTTACCCTTTCGATGACTCTGCCACCCACCACCTTCAGGGCTTCTACAGCCAATCAGATGACGACAGCTTGTTCCGTCACTTGGCCCTCGTGTACGCCCAGAAACACCCCGTGATGAAAACCGGTCAACCCAACTGTCCCGACAGCCCCGAAGAAACATTTTCAAATGGTATTACAAACGGGGCTCACTGGTATGATGTGGCAGGTAAGAAAATCATTTTCAAGTGTATTTTTTTAGGCTCAAATGCTCATTTTTTTTCTCTACAGTGAAGGCTTGTATATTCCTGATTTATGTGACCTAAAAAACCCCCACCAGTTTTATATACATGTGTACATGTGAGGTTTGATCAGGTAGATACGACCCAGTTGTGATGGGCACCCTTCTTCGCTGATCAGCAGTGTGAAAGATGGACTCTAATATCATTTTAAGATCAAGCAAAACATAAAATTTTAAACTAATAAAAAAACAAAACAATGCAGAAAAATCAAACAAACACGGCTTCACCCTGATTCAGGTCCATCAGTGAAATTTAATAAAACACGCCACAGTTTTTGTAAGAACCAGATGATCTGAAGCTTCACTGAGGCTCTGAGTTTTTCTCCACGAAGGTAATTATCACCGTAACGCGTCATGACGCCTGTTTCACAATCAACTATCAGCTGTTCAACACAGACTCTGACAAATTAAACCAAATGATTACCGTAGTTTTAATTAAATTCCCGTCATCGGCAACAGAGCTGTGATTATGACATCTCCCCCAGCTGCAGTGGACTGGTCACACGCAAACGCAGACAGACGTTTATTAATTTATTACAAGTGCTGATCTGTATGGGGGAGCAGGCGGTGCTGTTGGGTCATGCTAATGGAAATGCTGGAGACCAGTTTTATGGATCAAATCTGTTTATTGTAGTGGAAATGAAGTGTTGTTTTGATAAAGCCTTTGTTTTGTAAAATAAGTTTACTTATTTTAAATTTGATCTGTGTCCTGTGTGCAGGCCCGCTCTAACCTAAGTAACAGTTTTAATAATGTTTAATTGTTTGGAACCCCATACCTCTGAGGCATGGCAGCCCACCGGGGACCCAAAGGTCCCAGGTTCGATCCCAAGTCATTGCACTTCTCTTGGTGTCTCTGAGCAGCACACTCTATCCCCCAAATGCTCCCCGGCACCCTCAATAGCTGCCCACTGCTCCACCTGGTGGTGGATGCGTTAAATGCAGAGAGCCAATATCGCCACAATGATGACAATACATAACACATTATCCATCCATAAATATATAAATATATCCATCCATTATCTTTTACCCGCTTCTTCCATTTTGGGTCACGGGGGTCGACGGTGCCCATGTTCAGCAATCATTGTGCGAGGGGCGGGGTACACCCTGGACCAGGGCCAGATTAACACTTCGCTGTACCCTGGGCAACAATCTTCAAGGGCCCAATCATCACGACCCCAGATTCACCATAATCTGGCAAAATACAGAATAAATTACCATAATACACAGTAAATGTGTCCTGATGCATGCTCAATAATCCAGGTAGAAAAATCTAAAAAAGTTAAATCTGGTCCTCTGGACATTCAAAAAAACAGTAATTATACTTCAAATTCTAATTATCAAGTGTATTTATGTATAAAAATCCAAATGCTCATAGAACTATAAATGCTATTTCCTCTTGTTGACGCAAATCATAAAGACTGAGTTAAGTTGAACGCACTTTGAACATCATATGACACCATGTGTACTTGTTTAGCAACGTGTTGGCCACTGGTGTTAGAAGCATTTGTAATGTGTGGGGGTGGGGGGGGGGTGTCTGGGGGTCCTCCCTCAGCAATTTTTGAATAAAGTAGATGCCATTTCCTGCATTCTGGCATATTTTAACGGTTGTTTAACATCTAGTTTTACTTACATAAGTAAACACGATTCAGTAACTATTTTTAGAGCTAATGGAACAACAATAAGTAGCCTGACCAACAGTTGATTCAATTAATTAAAAATATCATTATATTTTCAAAGGTGACGATTTGCTGCCCACATTAAATTTAAATGACTGTAACGTAGTTGACTTCAAATGCAATACGATTATCAATGAATGCTTGTTTGTGACAAAGGATTTACTGGTTATAACAAAGATTCCTTCAAGAAACCTCCCATTATAAATCAAAAAACCATAATGACTCCTGCCCATTCTACATTTGTCAAATGGCCCAAATGCAGCGGGAGCACAGCATTCTGTCTGTGCAGTGCAGGACTCCCAAGTAAAGCAGGAGATAACCAGCTATTTTGCTTGTACCTTCACTGCCCTGGGCCCCTTAGAGATTGTGGGCCCCTGGACACTTGCCCAGTTGCCCATATGGTTAATCCGGCCTTGCCCTAGACAGATCGCAAGTCCATCACAGGGCTACATAGAGACAAACGAGACAAACAACCATTCACGCTCTCACTCACACCTAGGGACAATTTAGAGTTACCAATCAGCCTAACATGCATGTTTTTGGTCTGTGGGAGGAAACCGGAGCAGTTATTTCCCTTTTTCCCTATTACTGATTTTTTTTTAAGTCCATTTTCCCAACATGAGTGTTTAGTGTAATTTCTATTTCACTAGGCAGAATACTTACTTGGTTGTTGTATGTCTGATTGTTTTATTTACCTTTTTTATTCTTCTTGTTTTTTTTTTTTGTTTTTTTTATTCTTCATGGTTACAGACGATGTGAAATACCACTCGCTGCAGTAAACTTGTAAAACCTCAAAGTATGGTGTAGTTTTTGTAACTTCTGTTAGAGTCTCTGACGGCTCACTCGTAGATATTTTACAGCCCAGGGAGCGATTGTGTGATGGCTGATTTGCATCGTACGCTACAGACAGTTGAACTCTGTTCAAAGTCAAATTTAAACACAAATAATCTCTGAGGCACCGTGCAGAAAACGTAAAAAAATCGGTTTGTCAGGTGAAAAGCTGTCCGGATTTAATCCAGTTATAATCCACTTCAGTCCATCTCATTCAGTATTTGTTTTGTATAGGCTAAAGAAACTTATGGTCACTCTTTTTGTCTCATAGTAGATGTTTAGCTGAACCCGACTCAGGAAGTACTTCTCTACAGGACAGCTCGATCAGTCGTCCTGTAAATAAGTGTCGATTACCAGCTCAACTAAATGCAGCTTGTGATTCTTTTCCTGCTTCTCATAATTTGGGTTCAGCCCTGCGCCGCAAGCTAGAAACTTGAGCAACATCTACTGTGCCTCCTTTTTGTCAGCTCCTCTCAGGGCTGGGGGTGGTTCAGTAAAATCCTGAAGCATCAGGTTACAACACTGATGTACTGTGGTGTGAATTCATTCAGGTAACAACAGCCTGTTAGTCGGGGGCTCTGTGCGTTCCAACATGTCGACCTTGTTCAGATAAAACTGCCTTCAGGAGAATGTAGAGCTGTGAAGCAGGCACAGCTCTTCAGCTGTTTACTGGTCAGGCTTTGTGGTTTCACTATTAAACCTGGGACTTTCTGTACCAAAGCTATGATAAAGATGGTCAAAATCAAATTATTTATGCTTTAGTTTGTTTGTTGTTATTTTGTCCTTATTTAAGGTGTTTACGTCACCCGCTGCCGTTCATGCCAGTGATTTAAATTAAGATAATTTTTTGTACAGTTGTAGACGTTTTGATCAAACCTTGAAAATGACTGCATGTCACGCTCAGAACTTGTGCTGTGGTTGACTCTCAGCTACTACCAAACCAAATTTTAGCTCAATGGCTGTAAAACTGACTGAGTTGCAGCTGATTTTGTGTTGGCTAAACTTGATTAGTTAGCTGTGGCAGCCATTTTGAATTGGATTAACTCAGAAAGGGAATTGGTTGTAGACGTACATTCATTGACAACTTTCTGAAATTGTGCCAACTGTACTGTGGTTGATTAGATATTTTACTAACAGACAAAGTGGTTGGACTCCAGCAGTTAATACTAAAGTTTTAAGCAAAGATCTTGTGCAATGTGTAGCACTTGGATTATGTGTTGTAAATGACTCCCAGCTTCTACTACACCACATTTGAGCACGTCTGTAAAAATTGATTGTGCTGTAGACTTTATTTAGTTGTTTGTGGTGGCCATCTTGAAATGGGTTGTCTCCAAATGTTATTCACTTCTAGACATAAATGGTTAAATAATCATATCATTAAATCAGTTGGTAGTTTACAAGATATTTTGCTAACAGACAGAGTTGACCCCTAATAGTCGTTGGCAAATTTTTTTTTAAAATAATTTAGGGGAAATAGTAAGTTCTTAGAACACGAGATGGGAATCAGTCTTAGTCTGATCTCTCTGTAGATCTGAATGAAATTCACCTAATTCAGAACGTAACATTTCCTGAAATGTGTAATGTGCTCATGCAGGTCAACTTCATATAGTATTATATAACACAGATAACAGATTTTTAACGTAAGTAAAGTAATGTTCCAACATACTTCAAGACAACCACTATCATTCTTGTGCCGAAGAAGTCTTCAGTGTCATGTGCCAATAACTATCATCCCATAGCACTCACTCCTATCACCATGAAGTGGTTTGAAAGACTCTTCATGCAGCACATCAAGACCTTGCTGCCTCCCACCATGTTTGCGTACCGTCCTAACTACTCAACGGACGATGACATAGCCACCACACTTCATCTGGCTTCCACACACTTGGACAGAAAAAACACTTACATTAGAATGCTGTTCATAGACTTTAGCTCAGCATTCAATACTATCATTCCTCAGCATTTGATTGGAAAGCTGAACACGCTGGGCCTGACCACCTCTTTCTACAAATGGATCCTGGACTTCCTGACTAGGAGACCTCAGTCCATCTGGATCGAAAAGAACACCTCCAGCACCACCACACTGAACACCGGAGCTCCCCAGGGCTGGGTACTCAGCCCACTGCTGTTTACTCAGCTTACTCATGACTGTATAGCAATGCACAGCTTGAATTCCATTGTGAAGTTTGCAGATGATAAAACTGTGTCAGCAATAATGACAAGTCAACATACAGAGAGGAGGGGCAGCAGCTAATAGACTTGTGCAAAGTCAACAATCTTTGAATGTTGACAAAACCATAGAGATGGTCATTGACTTTAGGAAAACACTAAGGGTCCACTCCCCACTGAACATCAACAGATCCTCTGTGGAGATCGTCAAGAGCACCAAATTTCTTGGTGTTCACCTGGCTGTGGATCTAATCTGGACCCTTAAAACCAGCGCCATCGCCAAGAAAGCTCAACAGCATCTCTACTTTCTGAGAAGACTGAAGAAAGTACATCTGCCATTTCCAATCCTCACCACCTTCTACAGAGGAACCATTGAGAGCATCCTGAGCAGCTGCATCACTGTCAGGTTCGGGAATTGCACTGCATCGGACCGCAAGACTCTCCAGCGAATTGTGAAAACAGCTACAAAGATCAACGGGGTCTCTCTTCCATCTCTCATGGGCATTTTCAACAACCGCTGCATCTGGTAAGCCCTCAGCATTGTGGAGGATCTGTCTCGTCCGTCACATGGACTTTTTCCTCTCCTGCTGTCTGGGTGAAAGTACTGCAGCATTCGGACCAACAATTCAGTTTCAATTCAATTTATTTATATAGCGCCAAATCACAACAAAGTTGTCTCAGGGCACTTTACAGGAACATTCACATACATAAAAGCCAATTAGTCTTTATCTAAGGAATCCAGCAGACAAGTTGAATCTTGGCTTCGTTGCAGTCTCCCATCCTGAGCAAGCGCAGTGGCAACAGTGGAAAGGAAAAACTCCCTTTTAAAGGAAGAAACCTCCAGCAGAACCAGGATCAGGACAAGCGGCCATCTGCTTTGACCGGCTGGTTGAGAGGACAGGAAGGAGAGACAAACGAACACAGAATGGTTGGTCCAGGTATAGGTCCAGGTGTATCTGAAAGACAAAAAAACACATGTTAAGGATAGAAAAAATAATTACAAATACAAACGCAACACAACCAGACTGTGCAACAGCTACATTTCACAAGCCGTCAGACTCCTCAACTCTGGACTCTGAGACACACACACACACATGATGGATTCTGACACACACACACACACACACACACACACACACACACACACACACACA